ACGTAGATCTACTTTTTTTTACATGCTTTCAAATGGGGAAAATCAAGGTCGGAGCGCTACACACGTGAACACAGATCTACGTTTGGACAGTTTAGGGGTTAAATACATCCACTTCCTATTTACTCCCTTCAATCTAATATTCAGTCATTCATTATCTAGATTTATTGTTGCCTTCATCATCCTGCTCTTTTCTATGTTCACTTTTAATTTGCTTCTTAATCTGCTCAGTTTCATATTTGATCTTGGAACTGCATTGTGAACACAGTTATTGCAGGATGTTGATGGTGACACGTTCAACATCTAAGGGTCATACAGTGCCTAGAAAATAGAAGGTTATCAGGTTTAATCAGAGGAAGGGGAAAATAACTTCAATTCCTTGGACCAAGTGTCCTTCACTATCATGAAGGTGATTCTTTCCTGAAGGGTGCTTGTTGAACATGACATCTCATGAAGAGGCACATGATGCTTTCTCCAAAGGATTATACCTGGACAGGGTTTTGGGGATCAATGACCCCGCAGCCTAGTCTGTGACCAGGCCTCCTGGTGGATCAGGGTCTGATCAGCCAGGCTGTTACTGCTGGCCACACACAAACCAACATATGAACCACAGCCTGGCTGATCAGTTACTGACTTTACGTGCCAGTCCAATGCCTTCTACAAAACAGCATGTGGTCTATCGGTAATCCCCCTTATGTATGCTGGGAGGCAGTTGAACAGTTTTGGGCCCCTGACACTTATTGTGTTCTCTTAGTATACTCGTGGTACCCCTACTTTTCACTGGGGGGATGTTGCATCTCCTGCCCAGTCTATTGCTTCTATAGGGAGTGATTTTCATATGCAAATTTGGGACTAGTCCCTCTAGGATTTTCCAAGTGTGTATTATCATGTACGTATCTTTCTCACCTGTATTCCAGGGAATACAAATCAAGGTCTTCAATTGTTCCCAGTAATTTAGGTGCTGTATTGTATATATGTGTGCCATGAAAGTTCTCTGTACATTCTTCAGATCTGCAATTTCACCTGCCTTGAAAGGGCTGCTAATATACAGCAATATTCTAACCTAGAGAGAACAAGGAATTTGAAGAGAACCATCATTGACTTGGTATCCCTAGTTTTGAAGGTTCTCATTATCCATCCTATCATTTTCTTAGCAGATGTGATTGAAACATTGTTGTGATCTTTGAAAGTGAGATCTTCTGATATTATCACTCCCAGGTCTTTCACATTAATTTTTTGCTTTGTGGTTGGAATTTGTTTTATATTCTGATATGGTTTAATTTCCTGAGTTTTTCCACATCAGAGTAATTGAAATTTCTCTTCTTTGAACTTCATGTTGTTTTCCGCAGCCCATTTAATTAAAGATTTGGTTGATGTCAGCTTGGAGTCTTTTAGTGTCTTTGATGGATGACATCATCATGTAAATTTGGGTGTCATCCGCAAAGGAAGACACATTGCTGTGAGTTACATCTCTGTGTCAGGTATGAGGATAAGGAACAGGTTGAGGGCAAGTACAATACCTTTTGGAACCGAGCTTTTCACTGTAGCTACCTCAGACTTTACTCTGTTTACTATTACTCTTTGTGTTCTTGTTGTAAAGAAGTTATAGATCCATCTACCAACATTTCCTGTTATTCTTTATCAAGCATTTTGTGCACTATTACACCACTGTCGCACTTATTGAAAGCTTTCACAAAGTCTGGGTATACTACATCTGCATTTTGTTTGTCCTTCAGTGCATCTAAGACCTTGTCAGTGGTCCAGTAGTTGGGACAGGCAGGAGTGGCCTGCTCGAAACCTGTGTTGTCCTGGGTTCTGTAACTGATGAGTATCAGGTGAGTGGCGCTCTTGCTTTTTAGAACACTTCCAAAGATTTTTGTGATATGGGATGTTAGTGCTATCAGTCTATAATACTTTGCAATTGCTTTACTGCCACCTTTGTGGAGGGGGGCTGTCTGTTATTTTTAGTGACTGTGGGATGACCTGTGTCCCTGCTCCCTCTCCATAGAATGCTGAAGGCACGTGCATGTGCATGTCATGTATTGCTTTTTCAGAGTCTTGTGGTGTTGGAATATTATCAGAGATTTTTGGATTGACCATATTTTGAGTTTCGGTCATAAAAAATTCATTTAGATTTTTGACTCTTAGTCTGGTTAATGGCTTGCTAAATGCCAAATCAAATTGGTACTTCATTATCTCACTATTTCTTTGCTGTCATCTGTGTAAGTCCCATCATGTCTAAGCAGGGATCCAATACTGATGTTGTTTTTGCCTTAGATCTGGCATAAGAAAAGACATTTTTTTTTTCAGTTTCATGGATGGCTTTAAGTTCTTAGAGTTTCTTATCTCCTGTACAATTCCTCAAGCTTAAGTTCAATATTTGCTATTTCTCTAACCAATACCCTCCTCTGTATTTCAGATATGCTGGCCCCTATCAACAGCTCTCTGATTCTTTGCCTTCACCTGTATAGGGAGTGCCACAGAGTTAATTCTAGGCAAAGGTTTGGATCTGTGTTTAGGATATCTCCCAGCTGTACCTCTATTATGTTGTGATCTGAGTGTGTCTTTGATACTGTTACATTTCGTATTAGATAATTGTTGGTGAAGATGAGGTCCAGTGCATTTTCCAGTCTTGTTGGCTCTATTATTTGCTGGTTTAAGGTGAATTTGTTGCAGAGACGTAATAGCTCATGTGTATGTGAATTTTCGTCCGAGCTGCCTCCTAGGGTTAACTCTGCTAAAACATTTGCTACATTCCTCCACTTTAGGTGTCTTAAGTTGAAATAATCCAGCAGCAAAATGTTTGGGGCAGGAGTTGGGAGATTTTCCAGTGATCAATTTTATGAATCTATTCCTGGAATTGTTGGGAAGTAGCATCTGGAGGCTTGTATACAACCACAATGACAAGGTTTTGGTTGTTGATCTTTACTGCCAAATTTCAACTAAGTACATCATTTGGGGTGTTTAGTAGTTCTGAGGAAATGAGCAACTCTGTGACATACAGGCCAACCCCCCCCCCCCCCCCCCATTGCCTGTTTACTCTGTTGTATCTGAATAGATTATAACCTGAGATCCATAGTTTGTTGTCAAAGTGATTCTTTATGTGGGTCTACATGAAAGCTGCAAGCATTGCATTTGACTCTGAGCAGTCAATTGATGAAAGGTACATGTACTTTGTTGATGGCTTTAGACCCTGTATTTGTATTTGCAAAGATAAATGTCACCATATTGATGGTATGTAGGGGGCTTGTTTGCTGGCACTAATATCTGTTGTTCTAGAGTGGAGGCCAGTGACTGTGTCTCCACTCAAGGAGTGGAGTGGAGACACAGTCACTGGCCTCCACTCCACAGCCACTAAAAACCATCTCTGGGGTGGTTTTGGCTCTCCTGGTTTGTTTCCTATGGCCTGGGTGATCTGTATCTTCTTGTCCCCTTTAGATGGTGTGCCTGACAACACGTAGCATTGTCTTTCATTGACTGATGAGTGACACATTTCCGGGTGAAATAAATTGCAAGACGAGTTGCATTCTCCTGTTGTCATGTGAGTGCGGCATTTTTGGGATGATCAAAATTGCACGTCCCAACTATTTTTCCAGATATTCCATGCCTGCAGATACCCAAGGCATAGAATGGATTTCAGTTTGCCAGAATTTTCTGTGGCTGCATTCCCTACTGGTGTATTTTTTTTTGGCTCCCCATTATCTACAGCCCCTGTACTAACATCAGTGTCTCCACCATTTTTTTCTGGTAATATATCAACGCAATTCCCTGAAGCATCATCCCCTTTTATTCCATCTCCAGCAGCATTGCTACTTTGTAACACTGGAATTTGTTTAACTTTGTTTTTACTAGTTACGTCACCAGGGGCACTATCTCCATCTGGTGCATTGTCCTCCAGGACAGCACTGGCACCATCTCATGTCTGTATTCTTGCAGGTACTGTCTACCAAGACAACAACAGCACCAATACCAGGGGTTGACAGCCCCATCTGACCCACTCCTTTTATTTTCTCAGCTGTTATACAAAGACTGTCATGTTTTCTAAGAAGGATATTTATCTCACTAGAGAGCATATTTCATTTTGACCTCTCTGAAGCTCTGATGTGCTTACTCTGTAAGGGTTCTTAATCCAAGGAATTGGATCTATTCTCCCTGTTATTGAATTTAATTGCCAAACCGTTACCTGGTTGCTGTATGACCCCAATAGTTTAGTGCTTCCCTATGACTAATAATGCCATTTCCTTTTATGACTTAACTGAAACTAATTTAGCATACCTGCTCTAATTTCTTTCACCCTTTGTCAACCCTTTTCATTGAGGTTGACAAAAGAGGCTTTTAATACAAGGGTGACACAAGGGTTTCAATCCAAAGTTTAAAAAATACTTAATATAGCAGACCTCTGCATCAGTGATTTTATTGTAAATAGTAAGCCTGGTGGACTCTGCAGACTGGCAGTTGTATAGTGTGAGGAAGTATACTGGTGTCTGATCTTTTCTCAATGTTGATTTATTATTATAATCAAAAAGAAGTGCTAAACCTACTAGGGTTATACAGTTCCTCACTGTTGAGACGGTTCTCTATTTGAAGATTGAGTACATATGGCTAACCCATGTGCAGATAACTGTATAGTAGTTAATTACACTATACAATACTTATCTTAAAATGTGGCACTGGCCGCAATTCCCTTACACAACTGTTTTGTGAAAAAGTCAGAAAAGCTGTAAAATCACCGATTATGAACACTGACTCAATTGAAAGCCAAAAGAAACATGGAATACCGAAAAGAGGTGCTGAGTACATGGGGCTTTCCTATATGTTAGGTAAAAGGGCACAAGTGAAACTAATGTAACATTTTATTGTGGAGTTTTGTTTGATAAAGTTCCTGGAGAGAAAAACGTTGCCACAAAAAAAAAAGTCGCATTAGTTTCCTTTTACCTAACATACTGTCGATAATTCTACCAACGTTATTTCACATCATAGGTAACCTGCGAGTGATAACCCACCTTCATGGTGTGGGTGAAGTGGTGTAGGGGGTCCTTGTTGATGAGTGGCACCAGACACACCATCAACGACACCGACCCGTCCCGACCCACCAGGTTGGGGTTGCCACCGTAGTTCAGCAGCATGTCCAGCAGCTCGTAGCGGAACTCCCAGTCACGCACATGGCGCAAGACGCATGCCAGGGCAGAGTTACCCTGCTGGTTTATACTCGGCGATGCTCCATTTTGCAGCAAATAGCGAACTATGTGAAGCATGTCCCACTTGTTCCAAGGTGGAGGATCAAGGTCATAACCATAGCGTGCTTCCTCCAATGCATATCTACAAGAGCAGATTATTACAACAAAATCATAATGAAATGCTAGACCCGCAGAAGTCAGTCCCTGAGGAATGGGAGGTAATCAGGCGGTCTGAGAAAGGGAATATAGCTCCAGTTCCTATAATCAAGAGCCCTTCACCAGCATCAAGGCACCCCTTGAAGGGTGCCTTGATGCTGGCAATTATTTTTCAAAAGTATGGTAACTAGTATCAGTTTTAAAGGTGCAGGAACCTTAAGTGGAACACTGAGGAGCTCTATGGTGTGCAGTTGCAATATCAATCTCAGCTATGAGGGAATTCTTCCCTGCTATTACTGGGTTGTTAAAGTTGCTTAAAATCACTCCAGGGGTGTTAATGTTATACAGTGGACCCTCGAATTTAGTCCTGCCTTTTCTGCATGCAAAACTATTATTATCTATAAAATGTATGTTTTGTTAATATTTCCCATAGGAAATAATGTAAATCCAATTAAACCATTCCAGACACACAAAAATATTAACAAAAAATACATTTTATAGATAAAAATAGTTTTGCATACAGAAAAGGCACGACTAAATTCGAGGGTCGACTGTAGTTATATAACTGTAGTGCAAACGCGTCTCTGGCAAGACAGTGATGAAGTGAACGATGACAAAAGTTTTTCTTTTTCGGGTTGCCGTGCCTTGGTGGGAGACGGCCGATGTGCTAATAAACAAACACTCCAGCTGAACTATTTTTAATGCTACTTAAATATGTACTTATGTACTTAAAAACATTAAAAAAGGCAATTTTAGTATAATACAAGGTTGTTTTCTCCATTGTATTTCTTCAATGTCTGAAGCGTCTTTTACAGTTATCACTCTAGTATTAACACATACTTAAAGCTGTGTTTTTTTATTCACTTAGCTATGTTCGTTTTTGGTACATTTAAAAACACCTACTTAACCCGTAAACGGTCCAAACGTATATATACGTTTTTTCAACATTTGAAAGTATGAAAAAAAAGTAGATCTTTTTTTTTTTTTTGTTTTTTTTTTTACATTTGAAAATGTGTAAAAAAACTTTGATCTACTTTTTTTTTTTGTATTTGAAAATATGTAAAAAAAACGTAGATCTACTTTTGTAGCTCTACACATGTGAACGTAGATCTGCTTGGACCGTTTACGGGTTAAAACCCACGTCCAGTTCTTATTTAGGGTGTAAACATTAGGATTAGTCTGCCAGAAGCGCACCTCATGCTAGTGACTTTCCTTGTGCGTAGCAATATTCTATTACATGTAAACTATATTACTGCTAAAGTACAGAAAAGAAATAACGTTATTATTAGTGTTGATGTTTTAAATGGCTGCCGCTGACTCGGGAAGGGTTTAAAAAATTTAATAACGGTAGTTAATGATTTGGGGCCCCACCCCTTAGTTGCCATTTAACCCCTAAATTGTCCAAACGTAGATCTATGTTTACTCGTGTAGCGCTCTGAACGTAGCTCTACAGTTTTTTAACATGCTTTCAAATGGGGAAATCAAGGTCGGAGCACTACGCACGTAAACGTAGATCTACGTTTGGACAGTTTAAGGGTTAATCTTGTTGGTTAATCCACCACTGATAATGAGATATAAAACGCCAGCACAAGAAGCGGTAATACTGACCTAACTATGAGGGCGTGGAGAGGAGTGTTGCCGAGGGAGTCGGCCGTGTTGATGTGCTCCTTGAGGCCGTGCTGGAGCAGCAACTTGACCGTCTCTAGCGTGTCCTCGGCGCTCTTCTTCCCCAGGAGAAAGATGACGTGGAGGACGGTCATCTGCTGTGTGTACGTGCGCACGGTGGTTTCGGCGCCACACTGAATCAGCAGGTCGAGGAACTTGAGGTCGTGCAGAGCAGCCTGGTGGATAGGGTAGTACTCGTCGTAGCACTGGTTGATCTCGTCCGATCTGCACAAAATTCACACAATACAGTAGTGTCTAAAACTGTACTATAGCTCACCACTGACTACAGTCAGTGGTGAGTCTGGTCATGTACCAAGCCATGGGGGCACTGACCCCCGAAATCCCTTCCAGGTATACTTATACACCTCACAAAAAAAAAATCCTCTTCAATAAGCTATATCTAGTCTTAAAAAGGCTGTGAGCATTAGGCCTAGTCTGCCAGAAACGCACAGTATGCTAGTGGCTTTCCTGTGTGATAACAATATTTTAAGTCGTGTAAACTATACAGCGGTGCCTCGGGATACGAACAGCTCAAAACTCGCACAATTATTTAAGTGTATTTATGTAAGTGCTTTTGTAAGTATATATTTTTGGGGGTCTGAAACAGATTAATCTGATTTACATTATTCCTTATGGGAATAAATTTGTGGGGTATCGGCACTCGAACAGCCTTCTGGAATGAAAAAATTCGTATCCCGAGGTACCACTGTACTTTGTATACTGTAGAAAGCAATAAAATTGTTTACTTATCTTTGTTTGTTTTGTGGCAAAAAAAAAAAAGGCGTCAAGAAATCATTATAATTATGAGTTGTTTATGACCCCACACGAGTCCTTCAAACCCTGGTTAATGCACTAAAACCACAGGGGTCAAACATAATCTGGGGGAATGAGAGAATATCAGCTTGATGGAATGGGTAGGGCAGTTCTAATTCCTTTGATCAAGAGCCCTCTACCAGAAACAATACACACTTTCTTTCTTTCTTTCAACATACCGGCCGTATCCCACCAAGGCAGGGCGGCCCCAAAAAAAAAAAAAACGAAAGTTTCTCTTTTAAATTTAGTAATATATATAGGAGAAGGGGTTACTACCCCCTTGCTCCCGGCATTTTAGTCGCCTCTTACAACACGCATGGCTTACGGAGGAAGAATTCTGTTCCACTTCCCCATGGAGAAAATACACACACCCTTTTCAATACAGCAGCAACATGCAACAGACAGTTGCCACATGAAGTGCTGCAACATATTGCATAAGAAATGTAAAATAAATTTATCAAGGATACATTACCCAGCGTCACTGTTGTCAATAGTGTCGGTGGAAGCAGCTGCATAACATTATTATTATTATGGGAAGCACTAAGCCAGAAACCCGTCCAGAACAATAAAATATGATAGTGAAACCCGTAATGAACAATGAAATATGACGGGGAAACCCATCCATAACAATGAAATATGACGAGGAAACCTGTCCATAACAATGAAATATGACGGGGAAACCTGTCCATAACAATGAAATATGACGGGGAAACCTGTCCATAACAATGAAATATGATGGGGAAACCTGTCCATAACAATGAAATATGACGAGGAAACCTGTCCATAACAATGAAATATGACGAGGAAACCTGTCCATAACAATGAAATATGACGAGGAAACCTGTCCATAACAATGAAATATGACGAGGAAACCCGTCCATAACAATGAAATATGAAGGAATTATACAGCACCTGTGAGAGGCAGGGGATGAAAAGCATTCAGGTTTAATTTAGGGAATTGGAGCACAAAGGCTCTAGATCAAGAGCCCCTCACCAACATGACGGAACCTCCCTTGAGGGGCGTAACATAAACACAGCAAGTGCCATTCACCACGAGGAAGGGTGACCCAGAGAAGGGAATACATTCATTAGTGCTTGTTTAACAGATGTTTTGACTCACGAAATTGTCATAACATGACTGCAAACAAAACACTGAATGGGTGGGGTTAGAACCCAGGGCGTGTGAGTCATAAAACTCAAGGCCAGTGTGTTAACCACAGGGCCACCTGGCTACAATAACATTTATCTAAGTATATTTATACACCGTAGGAAGGTTAGCATGGGCCCCAGTAAGCCACCTGGCCCAGTGGTTAATGCACTGGCCTGGACTTTTATGACTCACTTGCCATGGGTTCTAACCCCACCCATTCAGTAGTTAATAGATGTCTTGCCAGAATTGCATGGCTATTATAATTCTGACAATCCTGTTGTTGTTAGGTAAGACACACATGCAACAGTTAGGTAAGACACACATGCAACAGTTAGGTAAGACACACATGCAACAGTTAGGTAAGACACACATGCAACAGTTAGGTAAGACACACATGCAACAGTTAGGTAAGACACATGCAACAGTTAGGCATCTTTATTTCGAAATAAAGATGCCTAACTGTTGCATGTGTGTCTTACCTAACAGCCTGATGATAAATTAGACACATGTGCAACTCTTGGGTATCTTTATTGAGGAAATGTTTCGCCACACAGTGGCTTCATCAGTCCATACAAAGGAGAATCTTGAAGAACAGGAGGAGAATGAGGTAATCAGTCCCTCAACCTTGAGTCGATGTGGTCAGTCCATCAATCTTGAATAGATTGATGGATTGATGGACTGACCACATCGACTCAAGGTTGAGGGACTGATTACCTCATTCTCCTCCTGTTCTTCAAGATTCTCCTTTGTATGGACTGATGAAGCCACTGTGTGGCGAAACGTTTCCTCAATAAAGATACCCAAGAGTTGCACATGTGTCTAATTTATCAACATGTCGGTTCTCTGAACCATTCATCTACAAACCTAACAGCCTGTCGGTATTTTATACCATTTTAATGTTCAATCTGACAATCCTCCTAACCACAGCCTCTACACCCCTCCTTCAGAGGCCAGGCTTTGCACTTCCCTCCTTCAAGACTTAAAAAATGAGATTTGTCAGAAAATCCTACAAACTGTTACAGTGCTGGCTCCCGGTGTTCCACAAGGAGTTGTCTGGACTCACGAAATCATAATGACACGATTGCAAACAAACCATACCATGGGTGGGGTTTGAACCCGCGGTCAGAGTCTTAAAACTCCAGACCGTTAGCCCAGTGGCTAACACGATGGTCTGGAGTTTTGGGACTGACTGCGGGTTCAAACCCCACCTGTGGTATGGTTTAGTTATCTGGACTGTGATTTCAGTGCGTTGAGGATATACCTTGGTTAGATGAGGATGGGTGAGGATATACCTCGTTAAGTCCAGCTAACTGGTATTCTTGAATGCTTAATGTTACATTGCTTGCACTCTAACAGCACATCATGCATTAAAAAAATCACTTAGTCTCCACTCGCTAATCTCTAACATGCTCACACATGCCTCTTTGATGTTCAAGCATCTAGCAATCATACGAGGAGTTAAGTGGGAGAAAAGAACAAGCGCCAAATTCACACGACAGAAAAAATGCAGACGTGGGAAACATTGGAACTTAGAAGGTCAGGTTACTACTCTTTATCATGAGACTCTCAGTCCTACAAACACAGCAGACAATATTTACACATTCTCAGAAGCAGATACAACATTAGGAAATCAATTCCTTCGCTAACCCGTCTAACCGGCAGCACTTACGCTCATCCTTTTCTCTCGCACAACACCTCATATGTTAAAACTAATTTACCGCAGCCTCAGCAGCTGAGACACCAACACACTGACCCCATGACAACTCACCTCTCCAGAACCAAATACTTGACACAGTTCCAGGCTCCACGTTCGCAGGCAATATGCAACAAGGGTCGTTTCTGCTGCCATGGCAGCCAGTGATCCTCCCCCTGCTGGGTCAACAACTCTAGAATGTCCACCTGGGGTCACACAGGAGATATATCTGTCATTCACAAGCATTACTGTACACAAAGAGTGTTTGTTTTCAATTGAAAAAGTCTAACCGCAGACATTATCCTACCTCACCTCATTTCAAAGTTCCAGTGCTATCTAGAGTATATTACAACCTTCCCCCCCCCAGCAATACTATTATAATAATAAAGAAATAAATAATAATAATCTTAAAAGGAGATATTTAGTAGATACAGTTATTGGTTTACCGTAAGCTCGTCATTTCCCTCACATGGATCGAAATCATTCTACAAGGAAGAACACAAAGGTACGTATAACTATAGAGGAATATGCACTTGAAGCTTTTGAAAATGTATTTTTTAGGGTTTTATCAGAAAAA